TACTCAGCAGCGTTGTTTGGAAGGCAAATAATTTTTAAAACAGGAGAAAAATAATGCTTTTTTTTAAAATGGCAGGAGCTGGGCACAGTGCTGTACAACTGTAGCCCCAGCTGCTTAAGAGGCTGAGACAGCGTTGTGTCAGGTCAGGAGTTTGGGGCCAGCCTGGATAACATAGCAAGACTCTATTACAGAAAAAGAGAGCAAAAACAGAGACTGAGAAGCAGAAATAGAGAGGGAGAGACAGAGAAGAAAATTGGTGTCATTCACGCTGTGGGCAAGGAGGTTTTCAGTTTAGCAAGGAGGCTTGAGGGTGTCGGCCAGAGTGGACTGGTACCTATCAGTCTGCTGTTAGGAAGAGGAGGACCGGCTAGAGTGACTGCCTGGCGGAGCCTCAAAGTGCACCCCCAAGGGCGCTGTCCTACGGAACCCAATAAGCACCTACCTACCTTGCACTGCAGAAAAGAAGCTCACAGGAGGTATAGACCTTTGAGGGATCCCCTTCCACCCTCACAGCACTCCCAGGCTTGTGAGTTAGCCCAGAACCGAAGCTTTCTAGGACAAAGCAGAGGAAGATGTGTGGTTAAGATGAAGGACTAGGAAGGGGTAGCCACGAGCTCCCAAGGCATCTCCAAATCAAAGCACTTTGCTTGCCTGAGCCAACAGAGGCAGATTCTTCCTGAGGAGAGCAGTTGATTCGTGTTGTGTTTCTAATTATTGAAAGAAAGGATTACTGGTGCTTTTCTTTTTGGTGTGCTATGAATTGACCTCAGGATGCCTCATCAGGCATCCCACTTTAACCTGACGGTTTTATCTAATTCTGTCCTTTGAAATTGGGGACCACTGAGTGTCAAGCAAAAGTCAACACAAAGCCAGCTTGAATCCTATCAGCTAAGTACCATAATATTAGGGAAAGCAACCTCCTCGTTGTCCAGCACAGGTTGGCGTTGTCTTATATAAAGATACAGTTGGAAAATGCCTTATGAAGATGCTCTGTGGTTGCACTGGGAAATGAGTCTGGGACTGAAAGGATTCTTGCCTGTTAAACTGTTGCCTGTGTGGGAGAGGTGAGCTCCCACAGATGCCAGCCTTCCTGGTTTTCCATCCATTTACATTTTTCCACTATGTGATCCTAACCTTGTCACACATCTGCTTGCCTCCCTGGGTTTAAGCACTGATGGCATTCGCCACAGTAAGCGTAACCCATGTTCATTTTAATTTGTTTCCAGAAAATTCTTGAAGTATCACAGACTAAGATCCTTAGACCTAGAGTTTCTCCCAAGGTGCTTTGCAGAGGAAGCGCTCAAGGTCCAGTGGGGAGGTGATGGAGGCTGTTGTTGGAGCGAAAGGCTAACCGCAGCTCAGTCACCAGGGAGCTCCAGAGCGAGAGGTGCACCAGAGTCAAACTGCCTGGAGGCAGCAGGGCCAGCTCTTTGCACTCCACACCTTCACTAGCCTTTGGGCACCCAGCATGGGAGATGTATCCTCCTAATGGGGGCTCCAATGGGAAGGGGTCCTCACACGTGACCCCCAAAACTCAGTACCTTCGGGTGTGTGCATCATGCAGTAGGGAGATGCAGGCAGGACTCTACAGCTTGTCCTGGGGAGGTTCCTGCTGGCTTGCGGAGATTGCTTGGTAATACTTACCAAGTCAGTGCCAGTGGAAAGGTGTACTGCCGGACCGTGTTGTTTTATGTTTTTCAGGTGTGCTGAGAAGAGGTAAGAGGAGGTTTGAAATAGCCTCCAAACAACTGCAATGTCCCTCACACCTAAATCGCCGTGGCTGGTGCTGAAGTGTAATTATACAATAGAAGAGAATTTTTTTTTAGCTCTGGCAAAAATGAGGCAATCCTTAAATTCTCCTGCAGTGAGAGATTACAAGAAAGAGGAAATCCAAATCAGATCCTTTGCCCAAAACAAAGGCAGAGTTGCTTTCAAGAGCCCCCCAGCAGAAATCAGAGTTTATAAAATTCTGGGTTTATAATTCTGGAAACCCCTGGGTGTGTTCTCAATTTTCTTTCAAGTGCGCAGCCTGCTGCATTAGCCTATCCAGAAATAGACTTTTACCGCTCATCCCACTCCTTCAGATGAAGTGGAATCAAGCTGCTTTATGCCGAGAGCTTGACTTTAACCTAACTGATATCAGAGGCAGGAAACGATGCATACTCCATCTGCCCCGTCTCTGTCTCTCCCTCTCCTTTTCTTGTTCCGGTTTTAAAAGGAACTTGTGTGCACAAGGTCGGTCTATAGATTATATTTTATGGTATGACTTACGGTACTTTCCAAAAAGATTTTCATTTGCACTCTAGTGCAAATTGGCACTCCAAGAGAGTTGCACATTTTTAAGTACTTAGTGGGCTGTTCATTCAGTTATCACATTTCTTTTTTTTTTTTTTTTTTTTTTTTTTTGGCTGGCTCAGCCTGCCATAGGGGCTGGGCTGGTGCAGTATGGCATGTGGTGCTGGGGATCGAACCAAGGTCTCCTGCACCTGCCTAAGCTTACCTAAGCAGGTGCTTTAGACCGCTCAGCTATCTTTTGGCTCCTGGTTATTGTATTTCTTATGTTTGACATCCTAGAAGAATTTAACTGTTCAGAACAATGGCTCGTGATTGGAGTCAGGTTCAGAACTTTCCATGTTCATGAATTGCTAGGTACATTAAAGGTAGTTTAATTATGAAGGGCAGATTATTTTGAAATAGACCCCAGACATCATTGTAAGAGCTGGTTTGGGAATGCTTTTTTATCTAGAAATAGAGTCAGCTACCTAAATGGGCTCTATCTCCCTAAAAGTAAAGGAGAAAAACAATCCACTAAAGAGCACCATGTAGTCAGGCAGAAAAATCAATGTACTTAGCAGCTTGAATGATTGGATCACGTGGTCCTGCTCACGAGTGCCTTGGCCTTGGCCCTCTGTCCTTGCTTGTGCCCTCTTAAAGGTACCGCCATTGAATCAGCTCCTTAGCTAGAACTTCACTGCAAATGCAAACAGCAGTCCTTTGCCTGTTTAGTCTGAGTCTATAAAATTCAACCCAAGAGTAAGGAAGGCTGTGGGTCTCCTCTGAAATAGCACGTGGACCAAGTGTTCCTAATGCCATTCTGTCTGACAGCTGAGATGATGGGAGAGTTCCAGGCGGCCCACGAGGACAGAAGGATACAACACTTAGGAGACTAATAAAATCCTAATTTTTCCATTTCCTTTCCCGGCACAACCCTGGATTCTGCAGGGAAGAGATACCAGCTATTATGATCATTTAGTAGATGAAAATACATGAGCCGTGATATCATAACCAGATCCCAAAGTTTAATGGTTTAAAAAGAAGATCCACATCCTTTGACATGGACCATCACCCAGCCAGATGCTGGATAAGATCGAAGTAGGAAAATGGAACTCTAGAGTAAGAATCAGATAGCCCCTGGCAAGTGAATTGGACATGCTCAATGTTGTGTAACACCATGAACCTCAAACAATGGCTGCCAGCAACCCTCTCTAGGTTATTTGTTCTCTCTTTTCCCCGTTAATAATTCAGTGTCTGTGGGGTATAAGATTGCAGGACTATAAGAAAAACTTCTCACACCTGGCTCACTTTTTTCCAAAACTGAGGAGTGTTTGCTTGAATTGTCCCTTTCTCCATTACTGGACAAGAAACTGAAGTGGGAAATCGGGAAGGCAGACGTACCTCATACTGTGCAAACCAACATTTAATTTCCCCGATTTTCAGAATCTGAAATGTGGGCTATTTTTCTATGATTTAGATAATGGCACAAGCAGTGTTTACTAAAAGACATATTCACTCGAAAGTGTCTAATAGAGAATTTTCCTGTGTGATGGTTTGGATGCACGTCCTTAAATATTTATGATTTGGTAATAGAGATTGCACAAATTTGTAAAAGCGTGATGTGCGCCCCGGCGCGTGCAGTTTCTCCTTTTCATTTCTTTGGAGAGCACAAGAGAATAATGTTCTATTGCCTTAAGAAGTAAAAGCTTACTTTTGGAGAATACTGACTTAGAAGCAATTAAAAGAAACGAGACAGGACAAATGAAATCGGTGCCTTGGGGTGCTCTCCATGTATTCTCTTTATCCTTCGCATTTTGTAATGTCAAACTTAAACATACTGAAAATTCTAGAACAATGAAAATGACCTCTCATTTCATGGAGCCCCCTTCAATAAGACATTCGGTTATTACCGCCCTTTTGGCGAAGTCTGGATTTGGGGCCATTGGTACCACGCAAGTTTCACCAAGATGCCCTTTTCCCATACACAGCCCTCTACTGGAACACTGTCATGAGAAGTATGTAAATTTTTGCCCTCTGAGGTAAAGCAGTCTCCC